TCAGGAGGTCGCTCGCTGGCCGCCAAGATGGTCCCTTGGTTCAAGACGCTCCAAGATGTTTCAAGGTGGCCCCCAGGGGCCACAAGATGCCCCAGTGGAACTCCCAAAGGCCCTCCCAAATGACCCTAGAGAGCCACAACATTCAAAAGCTATTCAGGTTTCTCCATATTCAGTAAATCTCACGCTCGTCTCCTTCGGATGGCTTCGGGAATGCTTCATATGGCGCCGAGGCTCGAGACGGCCCCACAACTTCGAAGAACAGCCCAAGAGGGGCCCAAGCGGGCCCCAAGGCCTTCAAGGTAGCCCAAACAGGAAGATCCACAAGAGACCCGTACATTTCAAGTCAGCCTACTTCATATTGAATATCTTCCCACGCTGGTCCTGAACAGCTCGAAAGTCCCGCATAATCCCAAGCAAGAGGAGGCCGTCGATAAGAACGAGAAACGAAAAGCGAGGACAACCGAGAGAGTCTTGAGGGTTAAGGAGAACGAGGTTAGGCAAGGCATGGAGTGAGCCTGTCCAAAAAGCACGCGCAGCTAACGACGCCATGGCATGCGCTAGAACCCAAGCGCGCGCGAAGCGCGCCCGCGGTTCTATAGAATATAAATGAATACCGCCCCCCCCCGGCCCCGGGTCCCATACCTCCCCGCCACATCTCGGGGACGCTCCCGGTACCGCTCCCCCGGCCTTTCCGGGGAGCGTCCACAGTGCCCCAGGAGGGCCCAAGACGCCTCCCAGGAGCCCCCCAGAATTCGAAAGGAGGGTCCAAGACGCTCCCAAGCAGCCCAAGTCAGCCTTCCAACGGCTCTCGAGGCTCCCAGGTGGCCTCCAAGAGACCCCACGAGAGGTCCGAGAGGCGTACCCGGACGGCCCGAAGAGGCCAACATCGTAGATGTTCATTGGTTTTGTTCCATCTTTTTGGCTTCTCGCGTTTTCAAGCTTCCAATGGTCCAAGAGCGCCGAAGAGGCTCCCACGACCGCCCCAAGACCACCCAAGAGACCCGAAGGACGGCCCCAAGACGGGCCAAGAAGGCTCCAAGATTGCCGAAGAGGCACCCAGTACAGCCCCAGACCACCCCAGAACAGGCCCAAGATGGGCCCAAGAGCGGGAGCAGGAGGCTTCCAGAGACCTCCGAAAGGCCTCTGGGACCCCCCAGAGGCCCCCCAACACACCCCCGATCCATGAGAGGCCCCAAAAGGACCCCGACGAGGTTCCAAGAACAGCCCAAGAGAGTTGCGAGAGCCGTCCCGAGAGAGCCCAAAGAGGGTAAATTCGTTAATCTCCTATGGTTTTTCCAATGCTTTTCGCCTTATCACGGTTTCCCGCTTCCAACCCTCGAAGATCGAGGATTTTGATGAAAAACGGAATTCCCAGATTTTTGTTTTTTTTGTTCTTTTTTCGAAGTGGTATCCCACACATCCCCTGACATCTGGCCGGTACCGCGCCTCCCGGCTTCCCGGGGGGGAGACCCCAAGACGCCGAAGGACAGCCCATGACGACCTCAAGGAGCCCCCAGAACGTAAATATCGGTCCAACACGCTCCCGCGCAGCCCGAGACACCCTTCCCGCGGCTCTCCAGGCCTCCAGGAGGCCTCCAGAAGCTCCAGGCGGTCCGGAAGATCTCACTTTGGTGATGGCACTGATATATGTTACGTGCTGCAAGTACGTTACATCATCCTACTTTTCAGTCCATCACAACTAGCTTACTTTACTTATAAGTCCGATCAGTCTGGCTTTGCGTCTAGAAATCGGGGGGCGCTCTCAGGCGCGCGTCAGCGTCGCCATCGATCCGCGCAGGCTGTCTCCCCGCCCCCCTCTCCCCCCCTCCTCCCCGTCCCTCCTTATCCTCAGGCGGGATGCCGCCAGGCGGACTACCGCCACGCGCGCGCGGTTTCCATTTTACACCCATGCCCCCTCTCCCCCAGGTGGCCCACCGCCAGGCGGTCTACCGCCGCGCGCGCATTTTACACCAGCGCGTGGATCGAGCCGCCCGCGGCTCGGCGGGTGTACGCCGCGGGCACCCGCGGAACGCCCTCAGCCACCAGCGCGCCGCATCCTATGGGGCGGCGGCGCGGGGGGGGCCCTCCGCCCTCCCTCACCCCTCTCTCGTCCCCCCTCCCCCTCGTCCCCCCTACCCCTCGTCCCCCCTCCCCCTCCCCCTCTGTCGCCCCCCCCCTTTCTCGTCCCCCCTCGCCCCTCGGTCCTCCTCGTGGCCCCCACGCGGACTCCCCGGACGCAGGCTGCGACACCAGGTCCAGCGGCTCCACGATCAGGTAGGTGCGCCCCGCGGCCACCGCTACGTAGTGGATGTTGAACACGGCGCCCCCCTCGAACCACACGTCCCCGCTGCCGTAGACGAGGCCGCCGACCGCAGCTCGACGACAAGTCAGCGCGCCGTGCCTGGAAGGGCCCTGGTGCACGCGCGAGCCTCGGCGTTGCCCCGAGGAGCGCGCCAAGGGGCGCACCCTTCGGGGCCAGGCCGCGCGCGCGTGCGCCAGGCCCATTTTGCCCTTACCGCGCGCTGCCCGGTGGTCCCCTCGAGCTCAGGGGCCGGCCGCCATTTGTACGACTGACGCGGTGCGGCCGAGGATTCGTGCAGGTACGTGGCCACGACTTGGGTGATCACATCCTTGTCCATGCCCTGCAAGCGGTCGTGGTGTTCCGCGGTGTCCTTGATGAGTTTGCGTTTTCGCTCCAGCACAAAGCAATCGAGCATCCACCCATCCTCCGCCGCCTGCACACCTGCGTGCCGAAGATAGTGATGCTTAGGCACGGCCCACGCGTCCGTGAAGGCGCGCACGTGTTTCCTGAGCGCCAACCCGACAAGGCGCTTGAAATCGGCATCGAACGCGTGTGGGCACCCGCCGCGTTTCGCCGCCAGGTTAGGTAAAGTTCCAGGGCGGCATACATGGCATCAAAGGACCGCACGTGGGCCACGAACTCAGGGCGGTGTGGCAAGCAACCCGCGTGGAGCCAGTTCCTCAGGAACGGCAGGATGGCGAGGCAGTCCGACGCGGAGCCGACGAAGCGCCCTGCATCGACGCAGGCTTTCTTCCTGGCTGGGGAGAAGAGGTGCACCGCAGTTTTCCCTCCGCCGCGCCCCGGGGCCCAGCGCTGGAATTCTGCCCGCCGCCGGTCCCACGCGTCGGGGATCACGCGCGCCGCTGCTTTTTGCAGGCAGAACACCTCCACCTGAAACGTGCCTCCGCTCGCAGGGGTGACGCGCATCGGGTCGCGCGTGTACATGGCCAGCGAGCAAATGCGTCTGAGGTCCAAGTCGGCCATCAGGGACAACTCGTCCACTGTGTGATGCCGTGCGCGGACTGGGGATTCTGGGGCGGCCCTGCCCTCGCCGTGCGCTGAAGCTCCACGAGCTCGTCGTGCGCGGTCGCGTACTCCTTGGGGGGGCGTGCCGTGATCGACGTCCGCGAACGCTGGCGCCCTCGCGCGCGGCCGCCCCGTTGTGGCGGCGCGCCGAGCGTGCAGGCACGGCGTCGGCGGTTGCGCATTGCCCGCCCCCGTCGCCTCCGCAGTCATCGGGTCGAACCTCGAGGCGTCGACGCAAGCGAGGCCCTCCAGTTAACCAGGCTCGGACTGCCAGACCCCTGGTCGAGCGCGACGTTCTTGCAGTTGCAGCGGGGCCGCCAACCGCCAGCGCCCTCGTAGGAAAACAGGTGTCTTTGCCCGCGCTTTCGCCCATGATCAGCCTGCGGCGCTGAAAGTGCAGCCGAGACGCGCCGACGTCGAAGGCGCCGCCCCCAGGCCCGAGGAAGAGGCGCCGCAGGACGGCCCTCGCCGCGCCCGCTGCGGTGGCCTGCTTCTTCTCCTCTGAGCGAAGGGCCCCCAGCGGGGGCCGGGCGCCCTCTTCTTGCAGGTGCGTGCCCAGCTCCAAGAAACTGGTGTACACGGCAATGGGCGTCCTGCGGTTTGCAGCCTTGAGCTGCGCGCCGACGACCACGTCGTCGCGGTGGAGGAGCATGCGCCGCGGTTGCGATGGCGACGAAGGGGGCGCCTGCGTCGCCGCCTAGAACCGCTCGCCCCAAGGCCCCGCCTGGCGGGCCAGCCGCTGGACGAACTTTTCGGGCAAGCATGCGTTCCGCGGCAAGGCTCGGCCACCGCCTCGGCGCGGCAGGTCGATCACGGCCAGACGCGGCGACGTAGCGCAAGCCACGTCGGCGCCCGCGGTCGCCGCCGTCGCGTCTTCGCCCTCGCCCCGCAGCAGGGCGCGGGCCACCCTGCGCGGAATTGGATACGTCGTCCTGCGCCAACATTGCGAAGGATGACTTTTGAATTGCGTGCACCTGGCCAGCGCCGCCAGCGAGGCGCCCCGCAGAAGCGCTGCCTCCTGCAGCCTCCGCCGCTTGGCAGACGGGCCCCCCCCGCGCCCCTGCCAGGGCTCAGGGGGGCTCGCCATCCCCCTGCCTCCTGCAGCTCGTGCCGCTAGGCAAGATGCAGAACCGCTGCATCTGCCCACCTCGCCATGGCGCGCGCTGGGGCCGCCGCGGGCGCCGCCCCCGCCGCGCGGGCGGCCGCGGCGGAGCGCGCGGGGCGCTTCGCGCCCTTCGAACCGCTGAAGCAGGGCGGGGGGAGGCGGTGGAACGACTGCAGGGATCGAGAGGCGGAGTGCCGCCGACGACGGATGGCGGACAACGGGCGGTGCACCGCCAGAGAATAGCGTGGGGAATTGTCAGGGGGCGGAGCACCGCCGTCGGCGGATGGCTGGCATGGGCGGTGCACCGCCAGGGAAAAACGCACGGGGGTAGGGATGGGAGGCACGAGGCAAAAGGAGACGAAGACGAGGGCGTCGAGGGCGAGGATGGGGGGCCGGATGAAGGAGGAATGGGCTTCTTCTCCAAACCATTGGAAGTCTGCGCGGGCGGCGGCAGACTCCCGTCGCGCCTCTCGGCGCGGGGCGCGCGCGCGCTTCCTCCGCGCGCTCCGGCGCGCGCGGCCAGAAGGGGAGGCGCCGCGCGCTGCCTGGGCGGCGCGGCCGCCCACCTCAGTCCGTCGAGGCGGGCGTCTTGCTGTATTTCTTCGCCTGCAAGCGGGCGGAAGAAGCGTGATCGGTCGTCTTCGATCGGGCTCAAACGCGATCGATCGGCCAAATCCTCGATCGCGATCGTTCGGTCGAGGTGCGGATCTCGATGGGATCTCCGCGGGCTCGATCGGCGGTGCCGCCCGTCGCGGTTGCTCGCTCGAATCGCCCATCCACGCCTTCTCGGCGCGCCCGTCGCCCGCGCGGTCGGGACCCCGATTGACCAAAAGGCAGTTGGGCAGCTCGCGAGGTCCAGGGCCGCGCGCAGGCCTGCGACCGCGAGCTTGGCCTCTGCGACGACCTCCTCCAGGACCTTCGACGCGAAGGGCAAGGGCCCCCTGGGGTCCTCGAGCGCGGACCTCGCGCCATCCCTGGCCTTCGAGATGGCCTCGTGGCTGTCTTCGGCGTTCTTCGCCGCCTAGCTGGGCACCTTGGAGCAGGCCGCGTCGTCGAGGAGCGACTTCAGCTGCGCCTCCCAGGCCCCCGTCTTCTCCGAAGTTTTCATCGCCAACGCCTTGCGGTCCTTGATGGCCTTCTGGGCGCGCTCTTGCTCGCTGCGGCCCCTCCTGCCGCGGCTCGCGCTGCGAAGCTCGCGAGGCTGCTTGCGCTCGCGCCTGCCGCGGCTACCCGAGCGGCTCTTCACCCTGCTGTCCTTCCTGCCGCGGCTGGTGGAGCGGCCCTTCTTCTCGTGCTCCTTCTTTTGGCTGGTGAAGCGGTTATTCGCCCTGCTGTCCTTCCCGCCGCCCATGTCGACGCGGCTGGTGGAGCGGTCTTTCTTGCCGTGCGGCGAGCGGCCTTTCCTGCCGGCCGCCCTGCGGCCGCGGCTGCGCGAGCGGCCTTTCTTGCCGTCGTCCTTGCGGCCGCGGCTGGTCGAGCGGTCCTCCTCGCCGCCGCCCTTGTCGCCTCCGCTGCTGGAGCGAACCGCGCTGCCCTTGCGGTCACCGCTGCGCGAGCGGCCCCTCGAACTCCGCTTCCGCCCCCGGTCGGTCGAGCGGCGCTTCTTGCCGCTGCTGCTCCTCGAGCCGTTGCTGCCGCAGCGGGTCGTCGCGCTTCTGGCTTTGCCTCCGATCTTCGAGCGGTCCTTCTCGCCATTGCGGCCCCTGCCGCGGCCGCCCGAGCGGCCCTGGCTTCTGCCGCTCGGCGAGCGGGGCCTTTTTTCGGAGGCCCTGGGCGGCGCGGCTGTCCGAGCCCTCCTGCGGCTCCGGTGGGGATGCCCTCGGTGGCCCCCTGTTCTGCTGGAGCTCCTGCCTCACTGTCTCTTCGATGTTATCCTCCCTCCTGCCCTCGATGCGGATGCGGTGGCAATCCTGCTTCAGGTCCGGGTTGTACTTCGCGTCGTTGTGGGCGCGCGCTGCGTCCGCGTCGTGCCACTCCTGGGCCCAGACGGGCAAGGGCTTCCAGTCCCCGCCCCTGGTCTCACTGAGGCGCTCCTTCCTCGAGATGGTGAGGGCCTTCACCAGGTGCTCTTCGAACTGAACGTTGTCCTCAACGGAGGGGTCGTCCATCGAGCGCCAGAACGCTTGCGGGCCCTCCTTGCGCACGAGCGCGAGCGAGCGCGGTGGCCAGCACGCGTAGGAGCGCTGCATCATGGAGCTCTCGCTGTCGCAGCTCGCGCACCACCGCGCGCTGGCGCTCTTCTGGGCCAGCTCGAAGCGAACGCTCTCCGCACCCCGCCCGCATGTGGCGCAAGACGGGCCGAAGCGAGGCGGCTCGTAGCCTGTGGTGAAGGCGCCTTCGTCAAGCGCGTGCTCCTCTGCAGGGGCGGGAGGTGCCGCCGTGGCCGCGGCCTCCTCCGCCTGCTTCTTCCCGTTGTTCGGCGGGGGTGCCGCCTCTGTTGCTGCTTGCTGATTTGCCTTGGCCTCGCCGCCCTTCTTCGCGCCTGACTTGGCCTGCTGCTTTGCCTTGGCGTTGCTGCCCTGCGCGCTCTCTGGCGCTTTCGACGGCGGCGCCCCGCCTCCCTTCTTCGCGGTCAAGAACCCAGAAAGCGAGGGCTGCACGGAGGGCTGCGCGGCGGCGGGGCGGCGGAGGGCGGCGCCCCTGTTCGCCGGTGGCGCCCTCGCAGGCGCCGCGGCCTTCTCGGGCGCAGGCGCCGCGGCCCCCTTCGGCGGCGGCGCAGGCGCCGCGGCCTCGGGCCAAGGCCAAGGCGCCGCTGCCTTCGCCGTGGGCAGGGCCGCCTGCGCGTCCGAGGCCACCTGCTCCTGCGCCTCGCCCCTCGCCTGCCTCGAGGATCCCTCGTCGTCCGTCGCCTCGGCTGTCTTCGCTCCGGGCGCCGCCATTGCGCGCGGAGCTGCGCGCGCCCCCCCCCCCCCCCCCCCTTCGCGAGGGGGGCTCGCAGGGCCCGCGACGGCTCGCGGGCCCAAAACGGCCATGAGGGGAAATCGTAGGAGGACGGAAGGAGACAGGGGCATGGCCGATGAAACAACAATGCGCGCGCGATAGGAGCAACAGGCGGTGCGCCGCCGAAGACGCGCGGCGCGATGCGACAGCGGCGATGGGCGGGGCGCCGCCGACAAACGCGCGCAAACAACGGGCGGCGCGCCGCCGACAACGACAACAGATGGGCGGTGCGCCGCCGACGAGCACACGCAAACAACGTGCGGTGCGCCGCCGACAAGGCCAACCGATGGGCTGTGTTCCGCCGACGAACACGTGCAAAGGAGGTGGCGGTGAGGTGGAGAGGATGGGAGATGGCGATGGTGATGGCGAGGTGGTGAATATGGGAGGTGATGATGGGATGTCTGGGTCAGCGTGGAGCGATCACGCTGCAAAGGCGGACGGCCGTTGCACCTGCACGTGCACTTGCGGCACGAACGGCAGCGCAGGGCACGCGCTTTAACCGCTGGTGCGCGGGCGAGACAGACGCGCGCATGCGCCTGCCGAGTTCAGTAGCATGGGCGGCGCGCCGACCCAGCTCACGCAAGCTCCGCCAGCTCATTCAGAGCTGCGGCAGCTCAGTCAGGGCTCACTCAGAGCTCACCAGCAACACAAAGGCACGCAGTCGCTCCGCGGGCGCCTGGTCGCGAGAGCTGTTAATTAGGGGGTAGGTCAGGATAGCGAGGGGGCGCGATGGCATTGAACTTGGAAGTCGACGGCGCAGCCGCCGCAGTCGTCGTCGTCGTCGTCGTCGTCGGGGTCGGCGTCGGCGTCGGCGTCGTCGTCGCCGTTGTCGCCGTCGTCGCCGCCGTGGTCGCTGTCGTCGCCGCCGCGGTCGCCGCCGCCATCGTCGCGGACGTCGTCGCTCGGCGTCGGCGCCCAAGGCGTCGGGCGCCGACGTCGAACGACGACGCACGGCGACGACGGCGACGACGCCGCCGACGAGGCCGAGGACAGCAAGGACGACGGCGACGGCGACAGTCGTCGGCCACGCGCCACCGCGGCCGCCGACGCCGTAGTGTGCGTCGTCGTCGTCGTCGTTGTTTTCGTTGTCGGCCTCCTCGTCGGTCTCGTCGTCGGTCTCGTCGTCGTCGTCGTCGCCCCCGTCGTCGTCGTCGTCGTCGTCGTCGTCGTCGTCGTCGTCGTCGTCGCCGTCGCCGTCGCCGTCGAAGTCGCCGTCGCCGTCGCCGTCGCCGTCGCCGTCGCCGTCGCCCTCGTCGGCCTCGTCGTCGGTTTCGGCGTGGTCGTCGCAGCCGCCGCCGCCCGCCCGCAAACTTCTTGCCTGCGACCCCCGCAAGCGGCTCTCGCGGACCGTCCCGCGAGCAGAGAAGAGGACGGCAGGGGCCCGTGGTCTGCCGCGCGCGCCGCCGCGACAGCCTGGAACGGCCTCGCGGGGCGAAAAGTGAGGGCAGACAAAATTGAAGACGAGTTTCGGACATCAGACGCCGACCGAGAGCCTTCCCGCCTGCCACCCTCCGAGTCCTTGCCCGCCCCCACCGCCCTCCGCACCTCCCCCGCACCCCTGCCTCCATCCCCCCGATCTCGCAGTGGGAGTCGAGTTTGGCTTGGTCCTGGATGGGAAGGGGAAGGACAACAAAAACAAAATCCCCCGATCTCGCAGTCGGCGTCGGACCTCCGAGGGGCCCCAGGCCCTTGCTGGCCTCGGGGCTCGGCGCCCCTCCGAGCGCGGCGCCCCTCCGAGCTCTCGCCGAGCGACGGGGCCCCAGGCCCTTGCAAGTCGCCCAGCGCTGCCTGCTCGGCCCTGAAGGCGGTGAGCGAGCGCTGCGCCACCGCCTCGCACGCGTGCGCGCACATGCGCGCCCTCGTCACGCTGTCCAGGATGACCTTGCGCTGCTGGCCCGACGAGGTGACGGACTGCTCCAGCGCCGCCCCCGCCGTGACTGGCGCCGACGGGCCTGCGACGTTCAGCGCCATCGGGGCCCCCTTGCCAGACCCCTTCGGCAAGGCCGCCAGCGCGGCGCTGGAGCTCAGCTGGTCCACCCGATCCGCGACGTGCGGGTTTGACCTGGCGCTCTTGCGGAGGTTGCTGCGGGCCCAGTTATCGTCGTGCATCTTCTGCCAGCGCCCCCACTCGTCGGTGTCCTCTGTCCACTCCTCGACCTTGAGGCGCGCCCCGCCCCGCTCGCGCCATTCGTCGGACCTCGGTGGGCCGGGCGCCGCCGAGGCACGCCGAAAGGCGTGGGCGGGCGTGCGTTTGGGCGCGCCGACAGTCGCGACAATGACCTGGAGCCCCGCGTCATCCTTCTCCAGCAGGTGGTAGCTGCTCTTCTCCAGGTGGTTCTGCAGGCGCATCGCCGCCTCCTCCTTCGACCCGACCTTGAAGTCGCGTCCCCCCCTTGTTGCACTGCCCTGACAACGGGCAGTTGTAGCCGAAGATCGTGGCGACGGGCATCGGCGCCGCGGCGAAGCGCGAGGGCGCGCGCGAGACGGGAGGGCCGCCCGCGAGAGCGCGCGAGGGAGGGGCACGGCGCGAGTTCGAGCCCGAAACTGCGCAAGCGGAAAACATCAAAGGAGGGATTGGAGAGGGGTGGACGGCGGATGGGGCGGCAACAATAACGAAAAGACGGCAGGCACAGGTGGTGCACCGCCGAAGTTAGGCGGTGTTCCGCCGACAAAGAAAAGGAGAGCCGAGGGCAGGCGGTGGTCCGCCATTTTTTTGCTGCGCCGCGCGCAAACGGCACTCGCGAAGTAAACCCGCGGGCGCGGGCACGGCGCGCGCGCTACCGCGACAGCCGCGACACGCGCTGCCGCGACGGCCGCGACAGGCTACAACGAAGCATAGTGTGACAGCGCGAAGACAACCAGCACTGTTTGAAACTATAGGAGGATACAACCGTGGTGGAGCACATGCACCAGCAGCACCAGTGCTTGCCTCTGAAGGCCCAGGCTTGGCTCGGCCTCGCTGCATCGGCAGCCCTGCCATCTCTGCACTGGGGGTACTTGCCCCTGCTGCCGCGCTCTGCTCCCGCAGCGCGGGTGGCCAGGAGGCCGACGCTGGGATGGCCTGCAGCCTTGTCGTCGGCGGCAGCTGGATCGCCGCCTCGCCCGTCATCGGCCACTGGACCCTCACTGGCGGGACGCGGCATCGCGGGGCTGCCAACCAGGCCCCCTCTGCTCGTCATCGGCACTGTACTCTCACGGAATCCTGGTTAGATGTTGTTGTGAAGTGCCTTGAATTGCACGGGTACGCAGGTTTGGCGCGGAAGCGTAGTACCAAGCAACTTGATGGCGTCATCAGGTTTGTTCTCGATTAGTTGGTCGCGTCTTGTTCCTCAATCAGTGCTTGCACTGAAGGGGTTCTAGCGGAAACTGAAAGATTTTGCGAACGTTTCCCGCCGATTTTAGTAGCCGGCTGGGTTCCCGGGTTCCCGCTCTTGGGTTCCCAGGTTTTTGGTCATTGGCTCCGAGCCGATTTCGGTGGGTCCCAGGTTCCCGGTCGACCTCCTTGTTGAGTTCTTTATCGATCCCCTTTCAAACCTTCCATTGATTGGGGTTCTCCTTTGGTGTAATGTTCGTTACCTCTTGAAACTCCCGTCCGGACAAATAGTTTGGAATGTCCGTGCATATTGCAGGTTGGGTTCGTCTCTCGCAGCAGCTGCCGCACGGCGGCCTGGCCGCTCCCGCGCAGCACCGGAGCACGGCTCGGGCCGCCGGCGTCCTCCCGAAGCTTGGCGTGCCCACCGCTGGGCCGGCGTCGCGCGGCCCGAGCCACCCAGAGCGAGATGGACGGGAGGGGGAGGAGAGGGGGGAGGAGGAGGAGGAGGAGGAGGAGGAGGAGGAGGAGGAGGAGGAG